TTAAGGTCAGATGATTAGCAACTTTAATGCCATCTGCAACCTTAATTCCCCTTTGTCATGTAATCGAACACATTCACAATTTCCAGTAATGAGAGGCTAGGAGGGGAAGAAGAGGGACATTATTCTGCCTTCCACAATAACTGTTGGGTCAAAGAAGAAGAAGTCTCAAGGGAAAAAAAAAAAAAAAAATATATATATATATATATATATGATGAAAATACGTTGTGTTAAAATTTGTGGATGCAGCTATTATAAATACTTAGAAAAGATTAAAGATCTCAAATCAGTAATCTAAATTTCCACATTAAGAAACTGAAGAACAAATTAAACCCAAACAAGCAGAAGGCAGGAAATAATAAAGAGTAGAAATCAATGAAATTGAGAACTGAAAAATAATTGAGAATTATCAACCAAAGCTGATTCTTAGAAAAAATATAAATAAAATTGATAAATCTCTAGCAAGACTGACGAAGAGAAAAAGAGAATACATAATAACCCATATCAGGAATAAGAGGAAGATCAGTACAGAGCCACACACACTAAAGACTAATAAGGAAATATTATGAACAACTCAAACTAGAACCAGAAGTAGACCGAGGAAAGTTTGTTTATAGTAATAAAAAGATATGGGAGGAAGCTGAAGCCAGAAAAGAAAAGGAACTGACAGGTAGTCCTGAGAATGAAGTTGATGACTATGAATTTGCACAAAATCTAGGTGGCTCAGAGAAGTTTTCCAGAAGTTTACTTGAAGGTTGGTGTTCTGTGATGATGCTGTGGAAATATAAGGATATAAGACAATAATGGATGCTGGTAAAAAAAGAGCTTAGATGCTAAATATGGAGTCCAAAGCTGGTGATGATGGAAGGTAGGGGTATGACGGAGCTAGAAGTAGGGGGGATGGAGAGACCAAGACAGGGCTGATAGATGGACTCAGGATGGGGGTGAATTTTCTGCATTACAGCTCCTCTGTAAATGTTCTTTCCTCAGCAGCTGTTCTTTATCCAGCCTCAGGGAGTTTCACCCTTACACACAAGATTAGAATTTAGTCTAAATGATTCAAGGGAGGACACTTATGCAAATGGAGTTGGGGAGTTGGCAGCAGATGGAGGTTCAAAGAATTGGAGGTGTGTACAAAAGAAAAAAAAAAAGATTTATTGAAAATGAAGGCGTAAGAGAGTTGGCATTTGGAGGGTTGGTAATTTATTTTATATCCACCATGTTCTAGGTATTATTCTGGACACAGAATATAATGAAGGGTGAGCAAAGCAGACAGATCTTTACTACCCTAGGGCTGACAGCTTTAATACTGATAAATAAATATGTAATTGTAATATTTAATGATGCATGTAGGAAGTACTTAGAAAGTTGTATAGAGGAATGGTAAGATTTAAAATGACACCTTACCAAGCAGGAGTGGGTGGCCAATAGGATAAAGCACTCAAGCAAGTGGTACTGAATGCTATAATCCTCAATATCTATGTCCTCACAGACTTCCCATTGGAGCATCCACAGCTATCAAAAAGCTCTCCAAAATCACAGATCTTACATCCCATAAGAGTTCTCAACCAAATTATTTCACCAGAACAAAAGAATTTCTCTGTTAAGAGGCTCTTCCATCACTGTACTGATGTATTTCTCAAGAAAATGTTAACGTGTAGTCATTCAGGCTTAGTTTAAGTGGACAAGTAACTAGAATTTCCAGCTCCGTATCACTACCGACATCTAGTTTTAAGAAGCAAGCACACTGGCCTGACTCAATGAGACTGCTAATATTCTCAGCTGAACCTTTTCAGTAATTTAGAAATTGCTGGTACACAATTCTATTGCCAATCACATCAAACATACACTTCCATCTGATACAAAGTCATGCTCTGGTTATTTCAAAATACAATTTATAAATGTAAATAAATACACATCACAAGTAAACAAAGTGGCTTCTTTTCTTGTTCTCACTTTTTAACTGTAGAGATTATATATTTTTAGTAGAAATTGGTAAATTCTGAGAATCTCAAAGTTTGGCTTAAATTCCTTCTTTGACAAAAATATGTTAAGTTTCTTGAGACACTATTTTTTTGGAGACACTTTATTATTGTCATCTTAAGGTTAAATAGCCTGGAAACCATCCCTTCCTCTCTTCCTCTAGACCACACATCTCTCGGAATATTCTTGTGTTTTCTATAACTTAGAAGAAAATCTCCCAATGGTTTCCTACTTTTTCACGTGGAGACACTTCAGAGTTAAGGTGTTGAGTGTACTCTGACCAACCTGATAAATTTCATTGAGCTGCTTGTGCCCCTTTGTGGCTGGTGCTTACAATTACAGCTCAGTATTGTTTGCCAGCCAGAAGCATCTGAACAGTTGCTTCAGATGCGTGAATGGTTGCCTCTAAAAGCTGGAAAGAACCACAGAGAAAGAGCCACCTAGAAGCTAGGGATACATGGGCTGCACAGGAGTAGCGGATACCTGAGCAAGGACCAGATTCTGATGGAAAAAAGAAGGAGGTGTGGATGCCAGGTTGGCATCAAACATGACCACTACACATTATTGTAATTGTTTCTGTGTTGCCTCACACACTAAAATACAAGCCCCATGAAGGCAGAGACATCTTGCCTGGCACTCCACAAAGGTTGCTGAATGACTGAGCAAATAAAGGAACAAATAGGTTTAGTGTGTATGTGTGTGTGTGTGTGTGTGTGTGTGTGTAAGATTTATTTATTTATTTAAGAGAGCACAAGGCGGGAGGAGAGGTCAGAGGGAGAGGGAGACAATCTCAAGCAGACACCCTGCTGAGTGCTGAGCCCAACAGGGGCTCAATCTCACCACCGTGAGATCATAATCTGAGCCCAAATCAAGAGTTCCATGCTTAATTTAATGAGCCACCCATGTGCCCACAAATGGGTTTAGTTTATAGGAAGCTCACAGATGATAACTATTTTTCTTTCTATTGTTAATTACTCTTATTAGATGCTTAAAATTTTGATAATTCTATTTAACAAAGCCCCATATGTCCAAGAGCATTTCTCAAACCTCAGTATTTTATAGGCTTAGCTTTATTTGTTTACTTGTTGTAATTAATAAATGTTAGTTGGGCACTACATTCCAAGGTCTAGAGATTTAAAAAATGTGACAGACACAGTTCTAGCCCCCAGAGGAGAGCACATCAGATTAGTGTTATCCTCGTCCAATCCATTTTTCAAATTATAGGCTGAGTAATTTTCTTTAAAAGTTAAATCCGATTATGTCAGCCCCTTGATTAAAACGCTTCATTTGCTGAAAGGCCCTTTCAGTATTGGCCCCTGGCTTCCTTGCCAGTCTCATTTAGAGCTCTTTTCCTCTCTGCATTCTTATCACACTTTCAGTTGCTCAACCTCAGATGTTCCTTCCTACGTCAAGGCTGTTGGACATCCTGTTCTACTTGCAAAGCACTTCTCCCTTCTGGCCTAGGTTACTCCTAACCAAAGGCAACAATCTCTGGGACAGCTTCTCTGGCATGGAAAACCAGTTGGGTCCTGATATACCTTTGCAAAATACTCTGAACTGCTTATCAAGATGAAAGCATTCATTGTGTAATTGACTGTTTCTGTCTTCTCCTGCTAAAATGTAAGCTTTTTTTTTTTTTTGGATTTTTTTAAGGGGCGCCTGGGTGGCTCAGTCAGTTAAGCATCTGCCTTCGGCTCAGGTCATGATCCCAGGGTCCTGGGATCGAGTCCCACATCATGCTCTCTGCTCAGCAGGGAGTCTGCTTCTCCCTCTCCCTCTGCCTACTGCTCCCCCTGCTTATGCTCTCTCTCTCTCTGTCAAATAAATAAATAAAATAAAAAATTTAAAGATTTTATTTTTAAGCCATCTCTACACCCAACGTGGGGCTTGAACCCACAACCCCAAGATCAAGATTTGCATTCTCTACCCACTGAGCCAGCCAGGGGCCCCTGAAGTGTAAGCTCTTGATGACAGAGACATTGTATGTTGTTCAGTACAGTGCCTGGCAGGTGGTTGGCACTTTCAAATATTTGTTGAATGAATGAATGATCGGGTTTGAAGTGGTAAAGGAGTCTGATGAAAAAGAATGTTTGCTTGGCTGACACCAGATTTCTAGTTGTAAAATTTCAGAAACACCACTAGGTTTCTTGGAAGAGTGTATTTCATAAAAGAAGGGGAAGCAGATCAAGAAAGATAAACAATCATCAAACAAGCCAGGCCTCTCATGGTGGAATCAACAAGGAATGTCAGAAGCTTCATGGAAGACAGAAAAACAGGGGAGCAAAGACATAATGGCTTAAGATGTATCGTTCATTCATTCATTCCCAAATATTTATAGAATGCCTATTTCGAGCTTGGAACTTGGGACTTAGAAATTCAAAGCTGGGCAAGTCTTACACAGTTCTTGTCCCTAAATCTATAGCGTACTGAGAGACTGTATTCAGCGTAGTGATTTCCGTGAAGTGCTGCTAAGGAAGGTATGTATACTAGTGTCATGAAATACTTAACTTGAGGGGTGGGGGAAGAGAGGGAGAGACAAAGAGAAGACGGACGGGTGGTGAGGCAAGCCTTTCTGGCTTAAGCTGAGACCTGGAAGATGAGGAGACCTGACGGTCTGGGGAACTGAAGGAAGTTCAAAAGCTAGGATTTGGGATCCCACAGAGAATGTCGAGAGATTGAAGGGCACCTTGGCTGATGTGCCTTACAGCGACCCCGGGTGTGAGAGGTCATGAGCCTGGTGAACATTCCCTGGACAAGAACATAACGTTCTGCCCTTCCACATTCCACCAGAACTGGGTTTACCTCCAATTATCCTTCCTTAATCCCGCAGGTTTCCACCAACCGCAGAGTGGCGGTGACCCGCAAGCAGCCAGGGTCCGCCGGAGACTGAGCGCAGGAGCTCCACTCACAGCCAACCGCCCCCCAGGAAGAGGCCCCAGAAGCCCCACCCACGTCCAGGCATGTTCTCCTAGGCCGAGTCCCAGGGGCCGCCCGCGACCGCGGCGGTCACGTGACCCGAAGTGTGACGTAGGAGGAAGGAGACGCCATTAGAGGGAGGCGGAGAGGGAGTGCTCTTCGCCTTTCCTCGGGTGCCTGACGTGGTGGCGGGGGCCCTTCATTCTCGGACTTCCCTCTGCCCTTCCAGGCTTCGCCCGGAGGCGGGAAGAGAGACAGTGCCTGGGGTTGGCGGGTCGGTGCGGAGGGGCCTGCGCCGGCCGCGGCTGTGAAGGCGCTGCGGTGGCTGTGGGGTGCTCGGCGCAGCTCTAGGGCTCGGGCGGCCAGGAAACGGGATGGCTGCGGCCGGCAGCAGCGGCGGGGCGGCGGCGGGCAGAGCCTACTCATTCAAGGTGGTACTGCTGGGGGAAGGCTGCGTGGGGAAGACGTCGCTGGTGCTGCGCTACTGCGAGAACAAGTTCAACGACAAGCACATCACCACTCTGCAGGTGCGGGCCCCAGGGAGCGGAAGGTGGAGCCTTGGGGCCCCTACTCCTCCGGGGCTGTGAGGACTTCGCTACCATGGTCCTCTGGAGCTGGGCTTAGAAATCTCAGGCCTGTCACCTCCGTCGTCGAATTGCCTTTCTGAATTCGCCCTAGGGACATGCGGGGTCGGGGCATTCTGTAGACATTAGGACAGGCTTTGGGGAAGGGAGCGGGAGGTCCCTCAAAAGTCCCCCGTGTGGCTGCGCATATCGTGGAGTCCCCCATATCGCTTGGCTAGTTTCCCCCTTTGATTCACTTCCGCTTGGGCCCTAGGTGCCTTCACCCTACTACAGTCACCGACTGTCAGCCCTTTTTCTTTCTTTCGGAATTAGGAACTTAGCTGCGGATTTGATTTTGCGAACTAGGTGATTTGTAACTTCAGCGCTTACTGATGACTAAGTGTTTACGCAAGTTCCATTTTGTCCTGTCTTCGAGTAACGTGCTGATAGGCAAAACAGTCATTTGTGGAGGGTTTTTGAAATGACCGCTTGCCGGTTATGGGTTACGCAGTTTCATTGCTGCCTGCGTGGGTCTAACTTATGGGACGATCGTTCTGTGAGGTCGGTCGATCCACATGCACATGGAAACGTCATGTGACTACTAGCCAACAGTTGGTCTCCCAAACTAACAGCTTAGTTGCTGCTGCTACTTACTTTCTTTACTTGTAGTGTAGAGCCGGCTTTCTTCTGCAGTTATCTTATGGTTAGCTGGGAAAGTGTTAAAGTGTAATCATTGATTGGGAGTGAACTCAGCCCTTTGAGGCAGATGTAGTCTCCTCCCTCTCCCAAAGAAATCAGTTTGCACGTGTTAGAAGAAAAATATCCAACTAAACTGACTTGATCAATTTAGTTACAGGTACTAAAATCGAGTGGACTTTTGAGCCTGATTGTTGAGGTTCATATCCCATCTCCATCTATTTAACTAGCTGTGTGATCTTGGGCAAGTTAATTAACCTGTCTGTGCCTAGGTTTCTTTGTTGAAATGGCCATAATGATAGTGTCTACCTTATAGGGTTGTCAGGACAAGTATACATAAAATCACTTGACTTGGTCTATTGGAAGCTCTCCATTTTTATTGCTGGCGCAAATTGCACAACAGATCTTAGTGACTGTGTAGTGTGTAAGAACATTGACACTATTTAATAGAATGCATAATCTCCTCTAATTGTTGTGACATATTAAACTACTGAGTCTAGAATTCCCAAAGATGCTCTAATTCCATATTCTGTTTTTATTCCTGTTTTTACTTCTCTTAGGTAAAGCATAATATCTGAAAAAATGAATATGAGGAAACTCCTTTTTTCTTACATCCTTGAACAAGAGCACTTACACAATTTTAATAGTTATTGTTGAGTTTTGCTAGTGAATCAGGGAAATTTGTAGGGTAAATGCCTATGATTATTTGGAATTTAGAAATTCATTTAGGTAAAGTAATAATAGCTAGCCTTTAGCGAGTTCTTACTCTGCTGAGTACTTTATTTTTCTTCTGTCATTTAATTCTTATAACAGCCTATGAGGTAGATAGTTTTATTAGCCCCATTTTGCAGGCAAGGAAACAGGCTTGGTTAAGTTGAGTAATTTGCTGGCAGTCACATTGCCACAAGTCATGCATGGTGCCCAAGCTGAAATTTGAATGCAGGTCTGACTTAAGATTTTGAGCAAGTAAATCACACTGCCTCTGGATATTGGTAAACTACCCTTTAATGGTTACCTTTGTGCTACAGATTTAATATAAAAGAGAAAATCATTGTAATTGAGCTCCCCCCCCTTTAAGATAATTTAGTCCTTCAACCTAAAAATTACACCTTCATTATTTGAAGCTAAAAGCAGGCTAAAGATTTTTAAATATTAGAAACTACTGCAGCCTACACTGGAGAGGATGAAGTTATGGTAGATTTTCAGTATCAAAAACGTAGCAGTCCTGATTTTAATATTTATATGACTATCATCACAGTGTCTGGATTATATTACAGAACTGAGGATTTTGTTGCATACCAATGTATGGAAGCAACATTGTATCTGCTCTCCCTTATATATCAGTTTATCTTTTAATTTTTTTTAGAGAATTGTGATCCATAAAACATAACCAGATATGCTTTTAATTTCCAAATGGGGAGGAGATTATGGATTAGAAAATAAGACATGAAGAGTCTCTTTTCTGTCAAAACTACCTACTACCTATCTTTGGAACATACTTTGTGTTTTGCAAAGTACACTTTCTTGCAATCTTATTTCAAAGAGTTATAAGACTGAGCAGAACCTAAAGTAGTTTATGGTTCACTGTTTCAGTCTTTTGTTTAATATTTCGGTCAAGTGATTGTCCACTTTTGTCTCATCTCCTCTTAGAGGTAAGATGAACTGGTATAGAAAGTGGAAAACTCACAGTGTCCTCAGATGGCCCACTTCATTTTGGACAGTTTTAATTTCCAGTAAGTTTTTCTGTGTATAAAGCCAAAATCTCTTTCCTTGTTTCCAGTTCCAGTTCTGTCTTCTGAATCTTGGTCACACAGGACATCCCTTCTGATAGTTGAATATAGCTATCACACCTCTTGGTCTTGTCTATTGGGTAAACAGCTCTGGTTCCTCAAAAGGAATCTCCTATGACATCATTCTAAATCATTTCACTATTTTGACATCTTTTCTAGACACTTATCATTTAATCATTGTCCTCTTTAAAATGTGAATCTTTGAGCTGTAGAAATGATTCCAAGTGTGGTTTGAACTGAGCAAAGTACAGTTCCCTTCCCTATTGAGAATCCTTTTCCAACACTGAAATAGAAAAGATTCTATGAGCTTGTGGACAGCTGTTACATTGATTAATATAGGGCTTACTGTCTTAGTCTTGCTTCCAAAAAAAAAAAAAAAAAAAGGCATTACATCCCTCACATTCTTTTTTCTTTGATTTTATAGTTGTATTTTTGTCCCTAATATATTTGACCCATTAAAATTGACTTTGATAGATTTACTCCAGTGGTTAAAGCCTGTTGATGTCCTTTTAAGTTTGATTTTATAATTCAAGAAACATGACCTGTGGGTCAGGCACTTGGTTGGGTTCTGGACATGCAAAGAAGAAGAAGGTATGCTCCTTACTGTCCAGATTAGCTACTCATTTTAACTTTGTCACCTGAAAATTTGCTAAGATTGTCTTCAGTGTTCTCATCAGGCATTAATAAAGACTGAAAAAGGGAGACAGACGGCCAAGTACAAAGCTCTGCAGGAGGTCTCATTATTGTCCAGTGATGCATGACCCGAGGTATATTTTTCTTTAGATGTCCAGAATCTTAGGGTGGGGCTTTTTCAGATTATGCATGGGCCATAGTCTGTCTTCTTGAGTGAGAAACAATGGAGTGTTGTACCTATTAATGATAATGAAAACAGAAGACAGCTTGAAATTGACTCCTATGGACACAAAGCCTTTAATGAAAATGGTTTTTCCAGCATTATAAATCTAGTTCTAACTACATCAGTCTTGCCCACAGGGGATATCATAAGATGCTTTGTCAAATGCTTGCAGAAGACAAGATACACTGTGTTTCTGCATTAGGAGGCCATATGATGTGGTAAAAAGAGACAGGACTTTGAAGTTAGACTCGGTTTTGCATTTTGGCTTCTACTTCATAGCCATCATGATCTTGGCAGGTTATTCTAATGTTTGTAAGCTGGCTCTTGATCTATAAAATGGGAGGATCTTACAGAATTTTTTTTTTAAGATTTTATTTTTAAGTAATCTCTACACCCAACATGTGGCTCAAACTTAGAACCCCAGGGATCAAGAGTTGCATGCTTACTGAATGAGCCAGCGAGGTACCGCTTTAGTTACCAGATTTTTATGTTGGTTAAATAGAGAGCCATCATAGGTAGACCTCCTATCACAGTGCCTGGCACATGTTTTTCAATAAATGTTTGCTGTTGAATGAATAGATGGTGCTTAGTCTGTGTTGGTTTCCTTCATGGGGACTTAGTCAAAAAGGTAATGGGATTAATTTCACATGGATTATTTTGAGAACCCATGCTGTCCAATTTTAAAATTGCTTATACTTTTATATATAATTATACATATGTAAATTTTGTAAATGCATTATTTGCATATAAATATAAATTTATTATTACTGTACACATACATATATATGTGTTTATTATCCATTTTTGAGTTTTGACTGGGATTGACATTGTGGGAAATTAACTTCCCTCTTGAAAATTGTGACATTGGGCATGCTTTGATGTTTTAGTACTGCTCTCTTTTTGCAGAGCTTCTCCTAGGTTACTAATAATTATGAAGTAATCTTGTAGGTGAGCTCTCTAAAAACTCAAGATCCTTTACCTAGCCCAGGAAACTTAATCTTATATAGAGTCCCCACGCTCTCTTACGTGATTACATAAGCAATTAAATTCAGTGATTGTTTATTTCATACCTGTTAAATATCAAACATTATGATAGTTGGGAAATATAAAGATGAGTAAAGTACTTTAACCATCAGTTAGCTTTCTTGATTTTATTCTGAAATGTTTGTGCCATTATGATTGTAACCATCTTTATCATATGTCTCTTTATGTCTGTGCTCTTGGGTGATAATTTCATTTTCTTCAGTTGTATGCCATTTTTCCGCCTCATGTGAAGGTGTTCTAAGATCATGCACTCTAATTTAAGTGCTCTCTATCACTTTCCACTAGTCTCTTATATAAAAAGTAACATTGTTTATAATCAGAACCATCAGTCATCTTCCCTTTTAGATTTCTAACTGGAATTCCACCTATATGCCTTCTGTAGTCTGGGGTAGGTGGCTGTCATTTGATTAGCAAAGCAGTGTTCTAAGATTGGCTGGGCAGATAATATCCTGATAGTTTGGCAAATGAGGAAACTAAGATTTGTATTAAATTTCCAAGGTCCCATAAATAGTAATGGTGTACCATTTTTTCTTAAGCTAAGTCTACTACTTTTCCCCCCGATGCACCTTAACCTCCTG